CACACACACACAAACAGTTTCTTTCTCTTGATTGCATCACCGTTTACAGTCAGTCTGGAAGGACATGGGAATGAATCCACTGACGTGAATACAACTATTTAATTTCTCTCTCTCTCTCTCTCTCTCTCTCTCTCTCGCTCTCTGCGAGTGGGTGATTGTGTATTACGGCGGTGCATTCCTGTGCTGTTTGCGGTCAGCTCTTGGCCAGTTACATGTGTCAGTAAATGTAAAGTTCAGACTAGGACTGATGTAGCATATCAGTGTAATTTCAGATTAAGCAATACAACATAAACAATTATATCTTATATAATATGTTTCTACCTTTTGGTGATATTCGATATGCATTCTGATATTTAAGTATTTGTTTTCCAATCAGATAAATCATTAACCTAAGGGTATATTTTAAATGTTTAATGCAAGCAGTGCATTTCTGAAAAATATAGTTAAAATAATCAGTGCATGTTTTTTCACTTTCATTTATATACGACTGTATAACGATCTGTAGTAATACAATGCAGCATTTGCATCGTCTTTTTAATAAATTATTTAATATATGAAAAATGCTACAGGAGTGTTTTGAATCAGTTCGTTTAAATTAAGCGCAATACAAATAAATACTGTATATTTCATATATTTAAAGAAAGTGAATTGTCAAATATGAAGTGCATTAGAATGAACACAATGTTGCATAATTTTATATTGCCTTCAAAATCATCACAGATATTCAATATATCGCCCACAACTAGTTCACAACATGCACATTACTATTTAAATGTTAATGTAATGTATACAAATTGTTTTTATTAAGAGCAATATTTACCCCCTACAGTTGATTTTCATTTGATTTTCAGGGGCAAATATTAACGAATAAATAAAAAATACAGAGCATGCTGCATGTCAACTGTGAATCAACTAATAAAAAAAGCACAATTACACTATTTGACTTATTACAAAAACGCTATTTGAATAATTATGGATGTTAATTTTACAATCAAAAAGCATAAAATGATGCACAAATATTATAGCACATAAACATTAAGCTAGAATACATTTTGCATAACTGTCCGGTCATCCTGTTAAATTATACAACATCGGAACCGTTTTCAATCAATGCTTTCGTGAAAAAATCACTTCATATTATGTGCATATTGAACATCAGTCACCTCTGAGAGCGTGAATACAGATATCTGACAGCTACAGGTCACTCGACTGGCCTAGAAGAGAGTATGATTAAATAAATCAAATATTACATAAAACCCCAGGAATTAAATATCTAGGGGAAATCTGTCACTTTCGGTGGCTTTTTTTATTTTTATTTTTGGCCTCGAGCACCTGTTAAGTTCTGACCGCAGCGTCTCCCCTCGCTCTTTCACTCTTTCATTCATGCCATCCATCCCTCTCTTTCAGCTCTTGTCGCCCAAGGTCTTTTCTCGTGACATCAGGCGGTGACATGTCACCTCACGCGTCATGCAGCACACAACAGCATCTCAGTCTCCAAACGACAGAAAAAGAGTTACGCAGCAGGAAACTGCCAGTGCATTTCACTCTATGTGTTTGTTCCTGCGCTCCAGCTCTGTGTGTTTGTTTGGTTTGCGCTGGTTTATTTATGCTGCAGTGTTGTAGCACTTGGGCCCTGCGCTGCCTCACCGCTTCACGCTTCACTTCTGTGAGGGAATGTTACAGAGTAAATACACAAACAAGACGGCGGCGCGTCAAGCAGAACCAGAGAAGGCAAACATTCATAACACTGGATTATTTTGGCTTGTTTTCATCGGAAACCTTTTATTTGGTGTTTATTTTGGTTAGCGTGCGAGATCTGCTGTGTGTTTGTGAGGAGTGCATATTCGCTCGCTCACCGCGTGCAATCTGTCGTTGTGTGTTTCCGCAGGTAAACGGCCGCACCAGTGTCAGATCTGCAAGAAAGCGTTTAAACACAAGCATCATCTGATTGAACACAGCCGCCTGCACTCCGGAGAGAAGCCCTACCAGTGCGACAAATGCGGCAAGCGCTTCTCGCAGTCGGGCTCGTACTCGCAGCACATGAACCACAGATACTCGTACTGCAAAAGAGAGGCGGAGGAGCGCGAGGCGGCCGAGCGAGAAGCCCGAGAGAAGGGTCACCTGGAGCCCACGGAGCTGCTGCTAAACCGGGCGTACCTGCAGGGCATCGCTCCACCCGGATACCCAGAGCATACACCAGAGCCTATCCTGAGGGACGGCCTGAACGGGAGCATTCGGGAGCGACTCAAGGAGGTGGAAGGAGCGTTTGTGAAGATGGGCCGGCGAGACGAGGAGTTCGAGGAGGAGGAAGAAGAGAGCGAAAACAAAAGCATGGACACCGACGGGGACACCATGAGGGACGAGGAGGAAAACGGCGAGCACTCGATGGACGAGAGCTCCGTGGACGGCAAAACCGAATCCAAATGGGATCCCGAGGACGCGGTGTAGCCGCTCGATCAGGGGACGGGTCGTCTGCGAAGCTGCATTATGCAAAAATATGAAAAATAAATGAAGTTTTACAAATTGTACAGTATTAAGGCCTAAAGTATGTGTGGTGCTACCATCCTAAAATCACGTGTTCCATAGTATTTATAGCACAAACTAGTAACTTGTACAAAAATTGCACTCTGCTTCTATAATCACTACGAGAATAATGAAATTATTTGCTGATGTATATTTATACAGTGTTAAAAAGGGGTGCAGGGGATCAGTATTTAATGCGTTTTTTTCTGCCCTCGCCACACACTCTTTTAGGCCGAATTCACGTGAAGGACCGTAACAGTATTCCGTTTGCTTTGACGATTTCGAGTCTTAAAGAGACTGTTTGGAGAGAGAACGATCATTCGACCGGGACAGACGACGGATGGACTGAGCCTTTGGAAGGTTGTTGCCTTATATGCAAACTTGTTAATCAGCGCGTTTCTAAAGTGCCAACCCTGTTCAGTATTACAGGAGAGCGACGCGAGCAGTCTCTCTCACTCGCTCTCTCTCTCTCCGATCAGCTCTTTAGTTTACAACGACGTTTGTGCAATTTTGTTCTCAGTATTACACCAAACCGTTTTGCAATGACAGAATTGCATCCTTTTATTTGTAGGTTTAAATGACATCTTATTTATGTGGCCCATTTTGTATCTCCTGATTTTATTTATTTCATACTGTACAGTACAGTATTATAGTTCTTCAATAAATAGATCTATTTTAGTAAAATGGAACCTGGAGTTGATGAAAGCATTTATTGTGTTTTGAAACATTAATTGTGAAATGCAATTTTCGATTTCATTTCAGTTAATTTTTTGGTTGTTCTATTATTTTTTTCCAGTTACTGGAAATTCCAAAATTTTGGAACTTTTGATCTCCGGAGAGAAGCCCTACCAGTGCGACAAATGCGGCAAGCGCTTCTCGCACTCGGGCTCGTACTCGCAGCACATGAACCACAGATACTCGTACTGCAAAAGAGAGGCGGAGGAGCGCGAGGCGGCCGAGCGAGAAGCCCGAGAGAAGGGTCACCTGGAGCCCACGGAGCTGCTGCTAAACCGGGCGTACCTGCAGGGCATCGCTCCACCCGGATACCCAGAGCATACACCAGAGCCTATCCTGAGGGACGGCCTGAACGGGAGCATTCGGGAGCGACTCAAGGAGGTGGAAGGAGCGTTTGTGAAGATGGGCCGGCGAGACGAGGAGTTCGAGGAGGAGGAAGAAGAGAGCGAAAACAAAAGCATGGACACCGACGGGGACACCATGAGGGACGAGGAGGAAAACGGCGAGCACTCGATGGACGAGAGCTCCGTGGACGGCAAAACCGAATCCAAATGGGATCCCGAGGACGCGGTGTAGCCGCTCGATCAGGGGACGGGTCGTCTGCGAAGCTGCATTATGCAAAAATATGAAAAATAAATGAAGTTTTACAAATTGTACAGTATTAAGGCCTAAAGTATGTGTGGTGCTACCATCCTAAAATCACGTGTTCCATAGTATTTATAGCACAAACTAGTAACTTGTACAAAAATTGCACTCTGCTTCTATAATCACTACGAGAATAATGAAATTATTTGCTGATGTATATTTATACAGTGTTAAAAAGGGGTGCAGGGGATCAGTATTTAATGCGTTTTTTTCTGCCCTCGCCACACACTCTTTTAGGCCGAATTCATGTGAAGGACCGTAACAGTATTCCGTTTGCTTTGACGAGAGAGAGAACGATCATTCGACCGGGACAGACGACGGATGGACTGAGCCTTTGGAAGGTTGTTGCCTTATATGCAAACTTGTTAATCAGCGCGTTTCTAAAGTGCCAACCCTGTTCAGTATTACAGGAGAGCGACGCGAGCCGTCTCTCTCTGTCTCTCTCCGATCAGCACGATCTCTCTGTTAGCACAGCAGCTCTTTAGTTTACAACGACGTTTGTGCAATTTCGTTCTCAGTATTACACCAAACCGTTTTGCAATGACAGAATTGCATCCTTTTATTTGTAGGTTTAAATTACATCTTATTTATGTGGCCCATTTTGTATCTCCTGATTTTATTTATTTCATACTGTACAGTACAGTATTATAGTTCTTCAATAAATAGATCTATTTTAGTAAAATGGAAGCTGGAGTTGATGAGAGCATTTATTGTGTTTTGAAACATTAATTGTGAAATGCAAATTTTCGATTTAATTTCAGTTCATTGTTTTTGTTCTTTTACTTTCCATTTACTGGAAATTCCAAAATTTGGGAACTTTTGATACAACATTGTGAGAACACTGTATTTTCAACTGAAAGAAAAAAAAAGAGATCCACTTTCATGTCTTTTGTTGAAGTGGAACAGGGACAGTTGAAATTTAATGTATGATAATATCATGACTGAAAACACACAAATCTTTCCTGAATTGTCTTTGTAAGAGTATTATGGATTTTTCTTAATTTCTCTTGGAAATGACCATGCTCAAATAAAAGTAGCCAAATTAAAGAACTTTTCAAGAACGCGTGTGAATGTGAGTGAGCGTGTGTGGACTGAATTATCGTACGTCGTCCATATATTCATGTGTTTTTGTTTTAGAGGACACTTCAGTTCTGGCTTTGACTCTATGAGAGCGGCAGAAATCTTACCTTTCAAAGGTGATTCTCAGGCGTCGTCATTAGATATTCCTACAACTTCACAGCCGATGAAGGTCAAGCAGGTTTTCAATGAACTCTTCAGAAAAAGAGCAGAGAATGTGTCGAACAAAGCGAGAGCAAGACAGACAGAGAGGCAGAGAGACAGCTTAAAGTGTCTTGAGTTCCTACAGCATATGCATATGAAAGCACAGATCAAACACTCTCACACACACACACACACACACACACACACACACTCTCGCTGCTCACCTCACCTGATCAACTGAGTTTGCAAATGACAAAAAAAGAGGAATAAAACGTCTGCTGAAGATACCACATCCCAACGACTTTCATCTACTCAGCTTTTTAGTTTCATCTTTGGCATATTGAGAGAACAATTATAGCTGAATTTAAACTGTGGTTAATAATAATAATAATACTTGCTAAAATGGCATATACATACAGGAGAACTGTCACAGTTTAGTCCAGTGAATATCTATCATGGTGGTTTATTTTTAAAAATTAATTCCTGGTTAAACAAACCACATATAAAATAAAAAACTACTAAAAATTAGCAGCAGAATTATTTCTCATAAAAATGCAAAAAAAAAAAAAAAAAAGTGTAAAATTACAACATATGTGCCAATTTGCCTGAAGAAGTGTGACATTTATGGGGGGGAAAAAACTGAACAGTTCTACCAAAAAAAAAAAAAAGTGTTATTGGAGTTGAGTTTGAAATGTCTAAAAAACAAACAAACAAAAAGCAAGACTCCAGCTGTGAACAATTTTAACAGCTAGTCCTGGTCTTCCCCATACAGCATATCTGTGCTAACACACATAATTAGGATACAAAAGGAGTTTTGTGCCTCAGGTTATAGTTCAGTGTGACATATTTGGCAGCTATAGTGTGTTTCTGATATAAATGTATTTTATTAATTATAATTAAAAAAAAAAAAAAGAAGTCATAATTCCAGCAGTCGTAATGTCAGCCAGTTCCTATATTTGTGTAGAACAGCTTTCCAATGTTGACTCTTTTTTTTTTTTGAAGGATGTGCATTTCTGTTGTTTTCAGCTGTTGCTGATATTTTTCACGTGCTTAATGTCTCTTGGAATATTAATTCATGATGATGAAGCAGCTGTGCGACACACATGAACACACACACATTTAACCCTCTGCTCAATGACGTCCACTGCAGTGGCTATAACTTAATAAGACATTTTAACCATTCAGGCTGTGAAGTTACATCCAACCCACCATGACTGATGACACTTACCCACTATTTATTTGGGCATTTTTGCTTTTATTTAAATTAGTCAAGATTCAACTCCTTGCTTCCCACAGGGCTATCGGCTCTGATAACCCTTACCTACATTTTTTATGTGACTCTACATGCCATTGTGTTACTTATTAATGACAACATGAGTTCAAAATGTCTGATGAGAAGGTGAATTACAGGGTTAATAAATATTACAAATGAAAGGCCTTAATAATTCTGCGAATCATTCAAACGACTCTGAACAGTCACACGGCCGCTCTGCTGTTCTTACAATACGTACGTGTGTGTGTGTGTGTGTGTGTGTGTGTGTGTGTTTTGGCGGGTGTGTTGGTATGTTTGGAGTTTCTTCTGTCTGATGATTCACTGCTGCTCTTTCACCAACTGTAGCTGAGAGATAGACAGCACTGTTTCTCCTGTCTCTCTCTCTCTTTCTCTCTGTCTGTCTCT